GCCAGCCTAATGAAATGTTTCTATGGAAGTGAGAGAAAATGACAAGTCTTCACCAAAAGCCCAGAACTTGGCAGTTGTATGATTCAACGCTTAAAAAAATAAAAGTAAATCATATTTATAAGAGGAAGGCTGCTTAATTAAGCAAGGTTTTTTTTTCTAATGAAAATCGAATTAACACGCGTGAGCCTTGACAAAGGAATGCAATGTAATCAAAGCACAAGGCAGTGGATGTAAAGGTGCAGCCCTGCAATTGCTTGCTCATGCCACTACTGACAGGCCTCCGCAAGGGCGATCTCTTAGAGAGGCCTTCTAGAGGGTAATTGGACTACTCTTCCACGTTGGCTAGACGTCATAGAAGAAGTGAGATTACTCTTTGGTTCTGTCGGTAAAGTCACGTAGGTAGAAAAATAAAATAAAATAAAAAATAATATATCACGTTTCGATCACAACACAAGTGGTCGTCCTCAGGCGGAAAAAAATAATCCGGCAGTAGAAGTGCTGAACCAGGAAGAAACGCAGCGAGAGAGCTGTTACAACAAGACATTATATATGTAGTAAAGGGAAAGCAGGCAGGGTCTGAGCTGGAAAGGAATTCCATCCCCGCACGCAAGCACGTCAGCTGTGTTAATGGGGCAGATTAGGGAGAGAGAGATTAGGGAAAGAGATAAGCATGAAATGAGCTTCCGTCGTCGCATAAGAGCATCGCCCCCGCATATGCGCACAACAGCAGTGTTAATGGGAGATTAGCACTATGTTGATGGGAGAGATTAGGCAGAGAGATTAGGGGGATTAGCAAGTTAATGTCATGTCTATGTGTAACACAAGCTGCTGCGGCACTGCCAACTGCGCTGTGAGAGGCAAGCGCATCCACGCAAGAGAACCACCGCAACGGTGGTCGTGCCAGTGAGACACACAGCCCATCACACAGCCAGAACCATCGATACATCGAGGTTAACTTTACATTTGGTTAAGTTAACCTGATTCCTAAATCAGGTTAACCTGATTACTAAATCAGATTAACAATAACACCATCCATCAAATTTAACATGGAAGTGGAAAATGATGACAAGCTACATTCCTGGATGTTTTGATCGAGAAGTGGCCTGATGGCTCGTTGGGACATTCCGTCTACAGGAAAGCCACCCACACGGATTCCTATCTAAAAACTGACTCCCACCACCATCCCGCCCAGAAGAACTCCCTCATCCAAACACTACACCAGAGGGCCCGCTGCATCTCCGACCAGCGCCACCGAGCGAGTGAACTGGAGCACGTACACCAAGCCCTCAAGATGAATGGATACTCAGACTGCACAATCCGCAAAGCTGTATCCCCAACCATGGGGAGACAACCAGCTGAGGACCCAATCAAAACCATCACCTTGCCATACATAGCAGGTGTTACCAAAAAGATTTCCAAAATCTTAAACAAACACAAGATCCAGGTCCGATTCAATACAGTACACAAAATCCGTGATTTGATCCCACCTGTGAAGGATGTCATTCCTGACATGTGATACCCTGCTGTTTACAAACTAAGTTGTGTCTGCGGCAGCAGTTACATTGGGGAAACGAAACTGACATGTCTCGGACCGTGTTCGCGAACACAAGGCAGATTTAAAACACGGCAGAACCAATACCTCTGCAAGTGGATGATCATTGTTATAACGCAGTGGGCTCGCACGGATATTATTTTTCTCGAGACCAAGGTACTCTGCAAACCTTCGGGCTACCATCAAAGATTTGTCCATGAAGCCATCCAGATATATAAACACAGAGACAATTTCAACCGAGAAGATGGGTATAAGCTGAGCAATCATTGGAAGGATGTTATTAACCAAGCAAAGTCGTAACTTGCTGTGGTGCTTCCATTCTTCTCTGCCGTTTGGCTGTTATCTCCGACTCTCTGAGTTGCATTGCCCTGTTGGGTGCCTCTGCATTAATGGGCTGGGGTCTCAATAACATGGCCACTTCTGCTCCCTTAGCCTTGATGTATCGATGGTTCTGGCTGTGTGATGGGCTGTGTGTCTCACTGGCATGACCACCGTGGCGGTGGTTCTCTTGCGTGGATGCGCTCGCCTCTCACAGCGCAGTTGGCAGTGCCGCAGCAGCTTGTGTTACACATAGACATGACATTAACTTCCTAAACCCCCTAATCTCCCTGCCTAATCTCTCCCATCAACATAGTGCTAATCTCCCATTAACACTGCTGTTGTGCGCATATGCGGGGGCGATACTCTTATGCGGCGACGGAAGCTAATTTCATGCTAATCTCTCTCCCTAATCTCTCTCTCCCTAATCTCCACCATTAACACAACTGACGTGCTTGCGTGCGGGGATGGAATTCATTTACAGCTCAGACCCCGCCTGCTTGCCCTTCGCCAAATATATAACGTCTTGTTGTAACAGCTCTCTCGCTGGTTCAGCAGTTCCACTGCTGGATTATTTTTTCCGCCTGAGGACGACCGCTTGTGTTGCGATCGAAACATCATGATATATATATTTTTCTACCTACGTGGCTTTACTGAAAGAACCAAAGAGTATCGATTCCTGCAGTCACGAAAGCTTCAAATCAAGATAGAAGTGAGATTAACCATACTTTACCCAACCACATGCGTCCTGCCGATTGACTAAGAACGGAGTGAAAGACAAATCACCCTAATGTGGCCAAAAGACAAAATTAAGTCGAATTACATGATCAAACTGCACGCCGTGCAACCAGAACAAAGGAAGCAAAATTAAAAACCGACAAAGCGCACAAATAACAATTACAAAAGGGCATGCGCTCTTGAAGGCAACCTGTCGAAAAATCTGCCACGGTCCCAGAATGTAAAATTTTAAGCCAAAGACAATAAATAAGTAAGCAAATAAATAAATAAAATGCAATCCAAAATGCTGCGCGCCTCACTGTGCGGCGGCGGCGAGCGCCCGCGTGATTGCCATCCGATTGAACCTGTCGCGCTGCAGCCAGCCGCCACAGAATTAATCTGCCCCTGCTGAGACCCTGACGACATTCAGCACTCACATCAACCCAGCCAATTTTCACTCTCCCGGGTGGGCGGGGGAAGGTACAAAAGACAAAAATCCCCCATATAGCCTGAACAGAATGTGTGAGCAAGTGCCGTTAGTAGGCACCGATGAGAAGGCCGGCAAGGCAGACGAGGCGGTGAGTGGCCAACAACACGCCTGGCCACCTTTGTCTCCCTAGTGGCGATGTTTTACATACCACACCAGGTACTAATTTCAGGCTGAGCCGAACGAGGGGAGGCCCAGAACCAGTTAAGATAATCGTCACTGGTGTTGGCCGTACGCGGGAAACTAACTCGGGGTCGCCGAGTTCGTAGCGCATTGCGCGAACCGCTAAGCCACGGAGGGTACACACACACTCACACCCAAGGACACGCACATGGACACCCAGCTACCTAGCACTCCGGTTCTGAAATAAAAAAAAATGTGATCCCGTAAGGTTTAATCTCAGTGTGTGCGAAATATAACACTACCCCACCGGTTTATTTCCACTTGGTTGCATTTGATTTCTTGCATTTGCATGAAATGCTTTGAATAGGGTAATGTTAAATGAAAGCAGCCAAACGTAATTCATGTATGCATTTATAATTGTTTTAAAAGTAAATTTAAAAAATTACACGATCCTGTCAGTGTTGCGTACAATTAAGTATGGGCTAAGAAAAACTAACGGCCGTATGGCAGAGTAGGGCTATTGGAGTGTGATGACGAAGTTGGAAAGTTACAGTTTATTTGTTTTCAGGGACGTGTGGTTTATGAGCGAGTCCGATTAATGAATAGATAGCGAGTAATAATACATAATTTGCTGGCATTAGTAATTGTAAACTAGGATTTGGCAGCACAGCACGTCAGTACATAACAATACGAGATATTCATTTTCCAGTTTTCGTGCAGTGCACACGCCTAATAGTTAACATCCATTCGAATGGTTCATTGTGCTCGAGTTCACATTCTCATATTCGGCCGACTAAAAACATACCAGGCCTACGCTGATGCCATGTGACACGCGTTCAGTGTAACCAGCATTGTGCTTCATATCCCCCCCGCCCCCAAACAACCCCCCAACCAAATTGTCCCCCATCCCGTGGGTGGCCACCGAGGGGGGATCATCTGGCCCTCCTCACGCCTCCACAAGTAAATAACTACATTCATCCTCTGAGCCCAGCCCTGACCTTTTTTTTTCAAATCCCCGATCCCACTGAGCAATCTGTGTAGCTGCAGGCCTTGAAATGCATCCGGACACCAGCTGCTCTAGTGACGTGCCGAAAAGCCACCGCGTTTGCCTGTGCACACCAAGTGGCGATGGGGGGATGGGGTGGTGCGTGTAGGCAGCTGCACGCACGCGTCACGTGCGTGCGACTAAAAACAGACTTCGTAAATACTGACCGTGGTGCGTGCACAACCGGGGACACACAAACGTACGTACGTACTGCGTGGTGCGTGCTCACAAGACTATGACCCTGTACAGGAAACCTGTAATTAGCGGAACCCTCTTCGCCAGACTGTAATACAAGCGCAACGGACCACTAAACGAATGTGTGTGTGTATAGAGGGATCGGCAAGATTGGCCTGCTCCCCGTCGTGTGCAAGATGTCGATGAGGAGGCTTCAGATAACAACGTTGCAGTACTTTGCAAGTCTCGGCCATTACTACCTGAGTCAAATACCCCTTTTCCACAGGGAAATCCGAGCCATGCCAGCATGACCCCCCCCCGCTCATTGTATGGCTGGTTTTCCACTGGACATTTGCCCTGCCGAGCCAGAGCCAAACCCGTGAAACCCTGCCCTCACTGGACATCTGAATCTGGCTCGGGGTCAAGCAGGCCACACGCAATCAAATGACATAAGTCGTTTCATTGTGTGTGACGTCAGTAGCATGACTCGAGTTCTGCAGTGGAAAAAAAAACCTGCAGTCTCCTTTGCTGCTCAGTTGTAAAACAGAAAGGAGGCATAAGCGTCAGTGGTGGTGTGGCAGTACCTGCATAGCAGTATGGAGGCTGCTCAGTGCTTCTGGCTGAATTTCCCATAGAAGCCCACGCTGTCCTCCGCATGCAGCTTCACCTCCGGCACGGAGCATATCGAGGTCACTGTCAGATGCAAAGACAAAGATCCAGCCGCAAAGGGTTAACAGACTGTTGGGGCTAGGGTGGTCACATAACGCACACGCACAAAATGGGACATATACACATAGGACGCACATGTAACCACAGGAAACAACAGACGGCATCAGCACAAATACACACATAGGACAAATATTGCTATTAGCAAGCACCCATTAAGGCCGACATTGTACACGGGGAGGGGGGGGGTGATGTCGCCAGTACATCTGACGATATTTTTCTCCCCAGTGCTCATGTACACGTACTTATTTAAGGCTGAGACGACCTAGAGGAGATGCAGAACCAGTTCAGATATATTAGCCACAACCAGTTTCTCGGTTCGCACTGCCGTGCGCAAACCACTACACGCCACAGCTCCGCATACATAGGACACACACATACATCAGCCAAAGACAAATATCCCCCTATCACTGTACAGCCTGTTGGGGCAAGCGCTGCGAGTGAGCACACACAAAATAGACATATATACACATAGGACGCAACATAAAAAGACAAAGATCCCCCGTATATAGCCTTTAATAGACGGCTGGGGCAAGTGTTGTAAGAAAACACCGATCAAAGCTGGCAAAGCACATGAGGGGGTGGGTGGCCAGCACTACGCCCGACTGTCTTTATTTCCTCACTGCAAGCTGTTTACATATTGCACCAAGTACCCATCTAAGGCTCTAATAAACCTAAGGGATGTCCGGAACAGGTTCAGATATAAATCACCACTGATATTAGCTGTGAGCGGAAATCAAACTTGGGATGCCAGGTTCATAGAGCAGTGAGCTGTCAACTGCCCTACCGCTCCCCACACATACAGACATGACACACACAGGAAACGCGCACATGCATAACATATACATAGACTCGGAAGACACAAAATCACTCTGATCATACACACAGGACACTCACACACAACACACAGGGCCACACACACGCCTGTGCTCGGTCACTCATGTGCTCGCCTGCATACACTCGCGACACTTATGCACTTGCACAAACATGGCAGCGAGGGTTTTATTTTTGTCACAACATGGTGATGGATCTCCCAAGCCCTGCGAGATGGAATAATTGGGCTAGGCCTCTGTTTTGACAGCAACAGAAAGCTGATACCTCACGCCACACGATTTTCATTATGTAATGTGCGCAACATTTTTTGTTTTTTTTCGTACGAAGCCATCAATATTTGCCATTACCACTTTTGAATTCGGCATTCCGGCTGAAAGAGTGATGACGCTGCTCAGACCTCTATGTATCACAGCTCAGAATTAATGCAACAGCGGGCGGGGGGCTTTAAAGGTTGCTCAGTTCACAGGGGTAGGGGTCAGAGTGAGGTGTTACTCGGCCCTCTTAAGTGTGCCGAGATCAATAGTTTCCCTGCTAAATCTTCCCCACCTCGCAGTAAGGTTAGACTGAATGATGCATTGCGTTAGCAGCCTGTCTCACCGCCATAATTGCAATATTTGTATTTACTTTGAGAAGGCGGGGGGAAAAATACACACTTCATAACAGATTTTTTTTCAGCGGATAAAGAGAACCCGGCTCTCCGTTGGAAACTCCGGCGTCTCTCTCTCTCTGTCTACGTGTGCACTCACTGTCAGAGAGCTCCGTGAGCCTGGGAGGGAGATCGCTGAAGTACGGGTGGCTGAGTGCGTCGATAGCTGAAATGCGGCTCCTGGGGTGCGCCTGCAACAGGCGCGACGCTAGCTCCTCCGCTACGGGAATGAGTGCCAGCCTGCTCGCACGCACGCACACACAACGTGCACACACACAGCATGTGGTCATTGTGTACACAGTACAAAGATCCCTACCCCCCCCCCCCCCCCCCGACAGTCAGCTGTCGGGGGCAAGTGCTGTCAGATAACACAGGTATGCACATGCTAACACGCACAACACAAAGACCCCCCCCCCCGTAAAGCCTCAATAGACTGTTGGGGCAAGTGCTGTTAGTGAGCACCTATTAAAGGTCAGCAGGGTACACGAGGGGGTGGGTGGGTGACCAGCACCATGCCAGGCCGCCTTCGTCTCCCTAGTCACGATGTTTACACAGCGCACCAGGTACTCATTTGAGGCTGAGTCGACCTAGGGGAGGCCCATGACCGATTCAGATAATCGTCACTGGTGTAGATGGCCATAAGCGGGAATCGGACTAGCGCAGCGCTGCACAACCCGTGCCAACACGCACACACACCATGAGACACAAACAAACATAGGACACACACGCACACACCATGAGACACAAACAAACATAGGACACACACGCACACACACACACCATGAGACACAAACAAACATAGGACACACACGCACACACACCACGAGACACAAACAAACATAGGACACACACGCACACACACCATGAGACACAAACAAACATAGGACACACACGCACACACACCATGAGACACAAACAAACATAGGACACACACGCACACACACCATGAGACACAAACAAACATAGGACGCACACGCACACACACCATGAGACACAAACAAACATAGGACACACACGCACACACACCATGAGACACAAACAAACATAGGACACACACGCACACACACCATGAGACACAAACAAACATAGGACACACACGCACACACACCATGAGACACAAACAAACATAGGACACACACGCACACACACCATGAGACACAAACAAACATAGGACACACACGCACACACACCACGAGACACAAACAAACATAGGACACACACGCACACACACCATGAGACACAAACAAACATAGGACACACACGCACACACACCATGAGACACAAACAAACATAGGACACACACGCACACACACCATGAGACACAAACAAACATAGGACACACACGCACACACACCACGAGACACAAACAAACATAGGACACACACGCACACACACCATGAGACACAAACAAACATAGGACACACACGCACACACACCATGAGACACAAACAAACATAGGACACACACGCACACACACCATGAGACACAAACAAACATAGGACGCACACGCACACACACCATGAGACACAAACAAACATAGGACACACACGCACACACACCATGAGACACAAACAAACATAGGACACACACGCACACACACCATGAGACACAAACAAACATAGGACACACACGCACACACACCATGAGACACAAACAAACATAGGACACACACGCACACACACCATGAGACACAAACAAACATAGGACACACACGCACACACACCACGAGACACAAACAAACATAGGACACACACGCACACACACCATGAGACACAAACAAACATAGGACACACACGCACACACACCATGAGACACAAACAAACATAGGACACACACGCACACACACCATGAGACACAAACAAACATAGGACACACACGCACACACACCACGAGACACAAACAAACATAGGACACACACGCACACACACCATGAGACACAAACAAACATAGGACACACACGCACACACACCATGAGACACAAACAAACATAGGACACACACGCACACACACCATGAGACACAAACAAACATAGGACACACACGCACACACACCATGAGACACAAACAAACATAGGACACACACGCACACACACCATGAGACACAAACAAACATAGGACACACACGCACACACACCATGAGACACAAACAAACATAGGACACACACGCACACACACCATGAGACACAAACAAACATAGGACACACACGCACACACACCATGAGACACAAACAAACATAGGACACACACGCACACACACCATGAGACACAAACAAACATAGGACACACACGCACACACACCATGAGACACAAACAAACATAGGACACACACGCACACACACCATGAGACACAAACAAACATAGGACACACACGCACACACACCATGAGACACAAACAAACATAGGACACACACGCACACACACCATGAGACACAAACAAACATAGGACACACACGCACACACACCATGAGACACAAACAAACATAGGACACACGCACACACACCATGAGACACAAACAAACATAGGACACACGCACACACACCATGAGACACAAACAAACATAGGACACACACGCACACACACCATGAGACACAAACAAACATAGGACGCACACGCACAGGGTACGAAACACAGGATACACACAGCACACACGTGCACATAGGACAAAGAGAGAAATCCCCTATATGGTATACTTAGACCCTATTAAGGCTGACTCAGTGCGCAAAGGGGTGGGTGTGGCCGGGCCAATCATGGTGGTTACATGTTGCACGAGGTACTTATTTGAGGCCGAGTTGACTTAGGGGAGGGACGGGACTGGCTTGTGTCATTACCACCGATGTTAGTTGTGTTCTGGGAATCGAACTCAGCCCTCTGGGTTCGTAGCACAGTGCGATAACCACAAAGCCAGGGGCCATCCATTTAGTGGGTGCGCAAAAGTCTGTCAAAATTTGACCCCTCTCCCCCTCCCTGTACGCACGCGGACTTTTTACCCCCCCCCCCCCCCCCCACCTGCGCACGTACGCCTGACGCACCCCCCCAACCCCCCGAATATTTAATTCTCACAGAATCGATCAAGGATTAATAATATGAACGTGTCGAAGCAACAGATAGTCCACCGCCGGACTATCTAACTCATTTGAAGGCCAATGTAGACCAATTGTTTATTATCGAGTCTTCACTCCCCCTTCCCCCGTTTCTTTTGCGTACATTGTCAGTAGACCCCCCCCCCCCCCCCCCCCCCCCCATACGCAAGCGTGCGCATTTGGGTTAACCCTCCCCACTCCCCCCTCCATGCGTACGTACTAAATGGATGCCCCCCCCCCACCACTCCCCATCATTGTGTACACACACACCCACACACGCACGCACACGCGCACACCCACACCACGCACACCCACACACGCACACCCACACACGCACACCCACACACGCACACCCGCACACCCACACACGCACACCCACACACCCACACGCACACCCACACACACCCACACACGCACACCCACACACCCACACACACACCCACACACACACACCCACACACACACGCACGCACACACATATGTGCGTAACCAAAACCCACCTGCAGGAGTCTGCGCGCAACCAACTGTGTGTGCACTCAGACACAAAAAGAATGAACGTCGTTGTTCATTTTCTGGACTTTTGGTTTTGCTATTCATCTCTTCTGGCACTCCTTGTGAACCTGCCAAGATTAATCAGTGCTTATTTACTAATTGAAATTAAAAGGAAAAGTTTCGGAATTTTCTTTCTTTAGGCGGGTTTAGGAGTAATGCTTGTAGTTTTGAATTATTTGACCACTTCTTTGTGTCAGTGCAGTGGGATTTTTCAAATTAAATGTGCCGCACAAGTAGGAATCAATAAACACCCAGAATATAACGTTTCACAAAGCCAACGTGTCGACCAAAACGCTGAGGACTGCTGATGGAAGCCAGTGTTGTTGACCATCTGTTTTTCTTTTCTTTTCTCCAAATACTCTAAATTACTTTGCGTTGCCTACAAAGAAACTTAAATAATCGACAATAATAATTTTCAGCGCTTAGTCAATACACTTTCAGCACTTAGTCAATACTACATGAAGGCCGACTCATGCCAAGTCAGTCATGTGGGTTGTTTGCCCATACTTTTCACCACGCTGGTCAGTGCGCGTTGTTGAAGTGGGGGAGGCAATTGTTCAGAACCAGTTCAGATATCGCCTGCGACTGATGTTGCCGTGAATTGAGCTCAGATCACTGGGTTCATAGCAGTGTGCTAACCAGTGTACCCCCCCCCCCCTCCTCCTCCCATGCAGGGGGGGTGGGTGATAAGATCTTGCCCGGTGGCGAGATGTTAACTATGTCGCCTGGTATATAGGAGCTCGTGGGTTCGATTACAACCCTGGTGCCTCTATATTTGGAGTTTGAATATTTTCCCCGTGGTTGCGTGGATTTTTCTCCGGGTCCTCTGGTTTGTCCCCTCATATTTAGAAACATGCGTTTTCGAGTATTTGCCTGATATAAATTTCCACGTGATAAGCTACTTCGTTGAGCTATCATTTATGGCCAGGTCGCTTCTAAAAAAAGCTATATAGCTCAGTGGGCCTCACCTGGTAAAATAAAAAAAATAGTTAATAAATGCTCTACTTACACGTCAGCTGCCCATGCATTAACACAAACAGGACCCATTGCTATCCACCATCATCTTAATTGGAATCATCGTTATACTAAGAATAATAAATGGCAACATCTGTTCGTTGTAGCGTATAGCCTTGCTAAAAGTCAACACACATTATTGAGGTTGCCACTTATTTCTTCTGCACGATGGATTCAGGAACATGATATCAAATTCACTTTCACAAAATCATCTCAACGTGATGTCTTCAGCCACGGTGTGATCTGCCCGGTTATTTATTTGCATTGAGTTATTGTAGATGATGTGACCTTGGGAGACTCGGCTATGTGGCATGCGTGAGACTAGGTCAAGCCGTACAAAGTCACCCCCTATGAATGACTTCATAAAGTGGAGTGCGCTCTGATATATTGCACGGGCCATTGTGTGGGTTCACAGACCCATCACTTGACTCTTAATAATCCTCCTAATATATCTAACTGATTATAAGTGCTGCACTTCAGCATGTCCAGTATGTCCACTGAGCAACAGAGGTCACCGGGTCATCTATAAAGCTTAAGTGGACATGCATTCCTGCCCCTTGCTTGTTGCGGGGCCTCTGTTTGTGTTTTTGTGTG